TGGATAAGGAAGAGGCAGCTGGTGGCAGAGGAGGCCATGAGAATGTAAGCTCCTAGGACCTGCAGAAGTCTAGACCATGTGCACAGTTAGAAGCAGAGAGCCGCGTGTATACACAGCGATAAGCTAGGTCTTTACGTACTGCAGAGTGAAAAAGACAGGAAATAGGTCCACACACACACATAAATTTATACATCTGTATCTACGTACATCACAATGCCACTTATGCAAAATGAGTGCGCACACATACAAACAGCAATACAGATTTTACCAACATTAACAGGGAGAGACGGAACTCAAATAGATTTAAAGAGGTGTCTGTGGAGTAACTTCTCTGACATTGGCCATAGCAACATCTTTCTAGATATGTCCCTGAAGCAAGGGAAACAAAAGAAAAAACAAACTATTGGAAATACATCAATATAAAAAGCTTCTGCACAGCGAAGGAAACAAGCAACAAAACTAAAAGACAACCTAGGGAATGGGAGAAGATATTTGCAAATGATGTATCCGATAAAGGATGAGTATCCAAAATATATAAAGAACTGATACAACTCGTCATCCAAAAAAAACAAATAATCCAATTTAAAAATGGGCAGAAGACACGAATAGACATTTTTCCAAAGAAGACATCCAGATGGCCAACAGACACATGAAAGGATGCTCAACATCACTCATCATCAGGGAAATGCAAATCAACACCTCAGTGAGATATCACCTCACCTGTCAGAATGGCTACAATCAACAACATGGGAAAAAAGTATTGGTGAGGATGCAGAGAAAGGGCAACCCTCGTGCACTGTTGAGGGGAAAGCAAACTGGTGCAGCCACTGTGGAAAACAGTGTGGAGGGTCCTGGATCAATTAAAAATAGAACTACCTTACAATGCAGTAATTGCACTACTGGGTATTTACCCAGAAAATACAAAAACACTAATTCAGAGGGATGCATGCACCCCTGTGTTTATAGCAGCATTGTTTACAATAGCCAAGATATGGAAGCAGCCCATGTGTCCGTGGACTGATGAATGGATAAAGAAGATGTGGTATGTACACAATGGAATATTACTCAACCAAAAAAGGAACAAAATCTTGCCATTAAAGAGTCCCATCTGAAAACCTAAGACGGACAGAGAGAAAGTTCTGCCTTCCCTACGGCATCCTATGTTCAAGATGGCAGGAGCCGTCAATGGCTAAACATCGCTAAACGCTTGGTTCTTAGAAAGGTACCAAACAACCAAAGAAATCTCAATCTTCGAGAATCCTACTGGAGTGAGATTTTATTGGCTACGTGTTCAGTTCATTGGCCCATCGACAAAGGTTTCCTGAGCTTGTCTGGCATTCTAGGCCCCGCTCCAGACCCAAGTCCCGGCTCCCGGACTTTCCTTCTGGCTGGCAGGCAGGGAAAGGACGCGGTGAACAAAGTACACAGAATATCCTGCTGGGATGGGTGCTCGGAAGGAAACTGAGGCTCTGGGAAAGGAGGGAGTGGGGCTGTGACTTGAGCAAGGTCACCGGGGCGTGCTCAGGAAGCAGCACGTTTGATCAGGACCCACAGGGCATGGGCACTGCCCCTCAGCCACAGGGGAGGGGTTTCCCTGCAGATGGAGCGCAGGTGCAAGCCCCCTAAGGGGGCTCAGGTGCATCCCTGAGGAGGGCTACGGAGATGTGGGATAAGGGTGTGGGGTGGCTCTGGTGTGGGCAGATAGGGTGGGGTCCCCGGAGAAGGAAAGAAAGATGAGACATGGCTTTCTCAACATGAGAGGGGTCATTTTTGGCCGCCAGCCTGCCCGGCGCTACTTGCCAGAGCACATTTCTAGTGGAACTGCCTGGGATATGTTAAATCCCGGAAAAACAGACCTCAGCAGCTCATGATTTTAAGGGAACAAAAGAATGTAGGAATAGACAGCCACCCAACAGGCCAGGAGAGGGAACGGCTTTCTGGGGGTGGCAGGAGGGGATGGGGAGAGTCCTGAGCCAGTGGTCTAGGAGGGCCCAAGCAGGGGTCACTAGGAGATGGGAGGGAGGGGGCACTGTCGGGGAAGACCCTGCACAAGGCAGACAGGAAAGTCAGAGGCCCGAGCACCAGAGGACGGAGGTGCTCTGACCCAAGGCAGCAGGATCATGGAAGGAGATCGGGAAGTCTGTTCTGACCGTGTCCAGTTTGCAAAGCCATTTAGAGATTATCAGATTTGTCTGAGACCTGTGAAGGGGCAATGAGCTCGCTGGGCATTATTCCTCCAGCACAACCCTGGGCTCTGCGTTTGATTCACTGGGGACCTGTCCCGCGGGTGTAAGCAGGTGGATCAGCTATCCCCAGCGGTCACAGTCGAGGGCCCCGCTGGATCTATCACCCAGCAGACTGACCCTGACTCCTCTCTGCTAAGCTGCTCACATACACCCAGCTTTGCAAATGCCTCTGCTCTGGTTCCAACACCTGCCCGCTCTCCTAAGGAGCTAATGAGTTCAATCAAATCCTCGGCACATGTTCATTTACTTTGCCTAGAGCATCGCGACCTGGAGCTGCTGAGGGTGTGGCTGGATACGTGAGCCGCTGCCAGGACAGGTGAGGCTCAGTTCTGAAGCCGAGGGCTGCCAGCCAGCCTCCAGGGAGTACCAACAGCCACAAGACGGGGTGACTGCACCATGTCATCTGATTTTTACAACCGGTCCTCTTAGTAATGTTCATCTCCATCCTACAGATGAGGGACCCGAAGCAGGGCTGGTGCAGTCACTTCCCCAAGGCCCCAGGACTGGGATCTGAATGCAGAACCTTCACTCTGAACCAGCGGTTCTGCAGGTGGGGACATCTGGCCAAGACGGGGACAGTCACAACTCGGTGGGGGGGTTGCTCCTGGCATCTGAGGGTTGGGGCTGGGGCTGCTGTGAGCACCCTGCAGTGCCCCCCCGCCCCGCAGCAAAGAGTCACCAGGCCCCAAACGTCATAGTGCCCAGCTCAAGAGAGGGCTGTCACCCACCCACGAGCTCGGCATCCCCCACACCACGCCCTTCTTGGTGGCCCTACTCAGCCCGCGGTTATTCAGCTGCCCGTAACGATGCGTTCGGTCTGCCCCGTCCCCACATCGGATGCTCCGCGCTTTGTTCCCCACTATGCACAGCTGGTAATGTCACTGCTTAATACATGTCCAGTCCCATTTGTTCTCTGGTTTCTGATCTACCTGGGCCCACTTCGGAAACAATCTCAAGGCCGTGTGACAGAGAAAGTACGAGAAAGCATGACTTCCCCACATTACAGATTTACATTGCACATGAGGTGCATTATTGCATTTCGCCCATGAAATGAGAGCAGAAAACCCGAAACCAGCATCTGAACTTCCAGCCCTGACTGAGGCTAATTTTTCATTGTCCTTGAAGCTAATCAAGCCTGCGGAAACAGCATCACCAAATTGACTAAATGAGATTTTCAATTAACTCAAACAGATGGCTTAAATTTTCCAGGTGACTTTCCATATTAATTCGGTGAGTTTGCTGGACCAGGCCCCGGGAGGCCTGGCAGGGATGGGGGCTGAGAGGAAAACAATGAAATACTGGATCTTTAGGAGAGAAGACAAAGCAATAACCTGAACTTTCCTTCTACCCCCGCAAAAGCGTTACAAGCCAAATCGATTCAACGCCCCCCTTCCCCGCCGGCCAGCGCACACAGAGAGCCCTGGGAACCCCGAGACTGGCTCTTGGGGGCCAGATTCATTAGCCTCTGGGGACACCGCGACCCTCTGACACAGAGGAGACCCATCCCGGGCAGGAGACAGGCAGTGAGGAGCGATTTATATTTACAGAGCACAGACTTCTCTGCTTGGTCTGCCTGCCCGAGGACCTCCGCATTTTACTTTCCCCCGAGCGGGAAAGTTGGAAGAACCTCCACGGAAGTCTGCACGGGCTCAGGCTTGTGAGGTGTGCGCAGACGGGTCTCACTAAGGGCGTCACCACGGGAGAAGACCACATCATTCACAGAAGACCAGCAGTGCCAAGTGCCCGAGCACCAGGCCCCAGGGAAGGCCTGTGGAGACGCTGGAGTGGATGGGGCCACGGCTCCTGCCCTTCCAGAAGCTGCCTGGAAGCCACTAATAAGGTGGAGTTCTGAAACTCATAGTAAAAGCCTGAGCTAGAGTTATGGCAAAATTTGGGGTGGGTGTCTGCTGAGTCTCAGAATGCATCATTGTCAGCTTCACTGGGCCCTCTTCTGGGCTTACGGTCCGTCAATGGGAGGGTCCTGGTGCCCGCACACTGGGTTCCTCTTTTTTCAGTCTCCCATCAATACCCACCCCACAGAGAGCTTGAATGATGATGTAAGTGGGCTCTGGAAGTATCCTCGGTCCCCAGGCTGTTTGAAATCTGGGACAGGATGAAACCGATACCAGAGTCCCCTTCACTTAGCTAGATCTACTCCATCGTTTTGATTAAACAAACAAACAAACAAACAAACAAACAAAACTACCCAAACCAGACGTTAATGGTGACAGGACAGTTATCTTTGTCAAACTGCTCTACCACCTCCACGGGTTAGCTCACCAACTAGGAGATGTGGCTTTATTGGAATAGGATTCACCACCGGTTCCTGGAGCCAGCAAAGTGTAGAAATGTTCTAAAGTAATGCTCTTAAATGGGGCGCCATTGACGGAGCATCCAATGACGTGGACCTTCTGGGTGAAGACTGCATGTGTTCATGCAGCGGATGTTCTGCAGCACCCACCTGCATGAGGCAGTACGCCTGGCTGGAGCTGTGCAGCTGGCCAGACATGCCCCTTCCCAAGGAGCCCGGCCTTCCGGGGAGCGTAGTCTGCTCCCAATTAAGGTGAGCAAGAGCAGGGCTGGTTTGAATGATGTTCCTTCACAGAAAACTGAACCATGAAGCAGTCACGAAAGCTTTAGAAAGTGTTACCTTTTTCTTGGATGTTTAAATTAGCAGCAAAATAAATCTGGAAGGACCCTGTAAATGAACATTCATCTCATTTTTTTTAACATAACAGAGAAAAGGAAGCAGACCTCATCCGTGGATCATCGGGTGGCATCATCTCTAGATCGTGGGTGGGTCCATTTAAGCCAATGACGTGCAGGGAAATGCTGGGGTTTTCACATCCAGCCTGGGAAGTAAAGGGGAGGAGACGTGAGTAAGCTCTCCTGTGGGGCGGTGTCTTCTTGCTGCGGATCCCTCCCCAGGGGATGCACAGGCAGGACTCTGGGGCTCAGGAGTCCTGAGCAACCCTGGCTGAGAGCAGGTCACTCATGCACAGAACCTTACAAAGGGCAAGAGATAACTGGACCAGTGTCCTTCCTTCCCCAGGAAGCCTACCCCCTCCTCATGCCTCCTAGTGCCTCCTGACTATCAACATGGGAGGCGGAAAGGGAACTGGACAAGGAGCAGGAAAGGAATTCCTGGAGGCGATACCAAGAGGTGGCGTGCTGACGGCGAGGCACGCGGCGGAGAAGGCTGATGAATGCTGGCCGTGGCCCAGCAGGGGCGGGAGGGAAGTCCCTGGAAAAGAAGCTGGGTGGGTTCTGCTCTGCGTCACTGCTCCCCCCCACCGTGCTCCCTCTTCTAGGGGAAGAGCACTGCTAGGAAGGGGAAGGGGAAGGGGAAGGGGAAGGGGGGGCATTCTTCGTCAGCGGGACCGCTGGGTCTCGCGGACACTCTCGCTCCCTCCGCACCCTGCACGCAGACATGGCAGGTTCGCCACCACAGGACAGGAGTCCGGTGGGGTCACCAACTCATGCCTCTGATTTGGGAGAGGGTACCACGGGGCAAGTGACACCTCAATACTGGGCATTCTCTTGGCTAGCATAGGATGCTTTTCCATTAAAATATGAACCACCTGGGGTCTCATAATTCCAATTCACCCATATCCCAGACTTCACTGGAAAACCACTGGAAAATCAAGGTGGCTTTTGGGCCATCACTCCTAAACTGGGGAACCTCCCGTAAAAGGGTTCACTAGGGAAACCACTGCATCCCTGGGTGGTTAGAGGGGCCGGGCGGCCATTGCCACACTGCGTGTGTGGGGTGGGGCGTAGAGGGGTCCAAAGATTCGGCATTATTTAACGGTTTCCAACTAAAACTCTGGGTCTTCCACACGATGTAGAGTTAAGTCCAGTCAAGACCAGCTGAAAAAGGAGTGAGAGAATTCTGTCCGCAGGCAAACCCACGTGGTGTGTTATCTTAGGCGCTCCCAGAATGGCTGACAACGGCCATGTCCCCAGAGGAGGCCTGTTCCTCCACACGGGACCTCCCTGGATACTGGCCACACCAATCAAAGAGCTGTGGACTGAATGCCTGTGTCCCCCACCTCCCAAATCCAAAATTCCTGTGTCGAAGCCCTGAGCCCCAGTGAGATGGTATCTGGAGGTGAGGCCTTGGGGAGGCGCCTGGGGTTGGTGAGGTCATGAGGGTGGGGCCCCCAGATGGATTCGTGCCCTCATATGGAGAAAGAGAAACACCAGAGCTCACTGGCTCTCAGCTGTATGAGGACACAGAGGGAAGGCAGGGTCTGCAAGCCAGAAACACGGTCCTTCCCCAGAACCCCACCTTCCTGGCACCCTGATCTCCAACTCCGAGCCTCTAGGACCGTAAGAAGTAAATGTCTACTGCTACGGAGCCCGAGGTGACTGTACATCTGGCGTTTCCTTCTCTGGCCCGGGGCTCATGCACCTCACTGGCCTCCCTTGTCCCCCACTGCCCCTCCTGCTGCAAACTGCCGGCTGGCGTGTCTTGTCTTCCCTGGTGCACAAGGCACCTGGCATCAGCTCTCAGAGCCCTCCAATGGCTCGGGAGCCAGGGCTCAGTGCTCGCTGGCAGAAGCCTGAGGGATCCTTCCAAGGTGGCCCAAGGCGGGAAGTGAGCGCCTGGCACCAGGCTGATGCAGACAGAGAATGGCTCGCCTCCATCTGGCCCCCGGGCCCTGGCATGGTTTAGTGAAGCCAAGGGGCAGCAGGGCAGCTGCATCCACTCTGTCAGACATCAGCGTTTCTCCAGTTGAGTGGGCTGCAGAAAATTTGGCATCAGGTCCTCCCTTCGTGCCAGGATGCTGCGATTTGCTAACAAAGCAAGGTTTAGACGTTTGTACCCCCTCCACACTCCACTGCACCCTTGCTGTTCTGCAGGCTCTCTGGGCCAACAACTTGGCCTGGGAAGCAATCAGAGACTCCGGGTCAGAACAGGACCAAGCACAAAACAGCCCAGCCCGGACCCAGGGGACCAGGGGCAGACAGAGATCCCTCTGACCTCCCAGAGCCAAATTCTAAACTAGGGATTTGAGGGCAGGGTGCCCCAGGAGCAGGCAGGGTGGATTGTTGTTTCCAGGGAATCATAAGTGGAGGTAATGTATTTATTTTGGTTCCAATGAAACTCAGACAAATAATTCACGGTCATTCAGTTATTTAAAACAGAATAAACCTGCCGACAAATTCAGCTCCACAAAGATGGGCATTTAATGCAACGTAATGGGAAATACTGACTCTTGCCTCTGTTGACTACATTGCTTAGAACACATCTGACTAGACAGGCCCACGTCTGGAGTCGCCCGGGGCAGGGCTATGGATGGACAAGGCAAAGCATTTGCTCTACTGTTTCCTCCCGCCTACCTTGGGGTAGTGGTAGGGCTTCACCGTGGGGTAGATGGAGCCGGTGTAGGTTGGGAGCTCCATGACGGGCACGCGGGAGTCGTTGATGGTGGCATAGGCGAGCCTCGTGCCATCCGGAGACCACCAGTGGGCGATGTGAGTCTTCAAAATCTCCTCTATGGGAAAACAGAGTGGAGAAATGTAGACAGACGACACATAGGGGTGTGACCCAGGGCTGTGTGGGCACGTCTGGGAGCGGCCAGCACATCAGGCATTCCCTCGGGGACATGGATCTTCTGCCTCTTTTGAGTGGTCTTCACTGTGCCTGGATATGCCTTCATTCCCTGGGGGCTCAAGAGATGCCCGGTGCTGACCACTGAGCCCCAGTGAAACCCAATAAATCAAGGTCCACCTGAACAGAAGCTCATGGTCTGGAAAACTTTATTTTTATTTTGCACACATTTGAACACTCTGAGCCCAACACATGCTTTTTGAATAGAATTATTATTGCGCCACTGCAGGTTATTATTTTAAGATGCTTTAAAGAGCAGAACAACAGGAAGTCAGTCCCCACAGTAGCAGGGCACATCCAGGTAGCACCAAGTGAGAAAGGACACTGTCTCCAGAAAATCCCAGGTCGGCTTGCAGGAGGCACCTGGGGACTCACGCCTACACATGCACATACGTTCCCTCGGGAACAGCTGTGCGGAAGGAGAACGTGTCCCACAGTCAGCACACTCCTCAGCCTTAAAGGAATGATGAATTTCCCTGGCTGTGGCAGAAAAGCAAACTGGCCCCATCTTCAACGGGGCTGAAGTGCAAATGACAATTCTCACAGGTGCCCCCCACTATTTTGTGTTATCGCAGCCAAGTGTCTTGGCTAACGCGAGTCTTAACTACAGATGAGTTTTGTGGGATCTGTTATCCGCTCCAGAAAGAACAGTTCTAGTCTGCTTTCACTCCCCAAGTGTACCAAGTCAGGGTGCTGGGGACCAGAGACCCCAGCTCTTAGGTCAAGGGATTGTCTTTACATGATCTATATGCATTGCCAACGATTTCCCTCCAGATTTGTTTTTAAAGTAATGGTCACTACAATTATAGGATCATGTAATACAAGTCACACTGAACTGGTCGCTCTCAGGTGTGTCCCATACCCCGGCTCCATGTGCCCGCGGTGACAGAGAGGCAGTGGAGGGCCCCAAAATCATGCCGAACAGATGACCTGAGCGCACGTGACACAAGGGACAACACTGTACGTGGGGACAAGCCAGGACAGCCGGCCGCAGAGGAAGAGGAACACGGGGGAGGGCAAGGGCGGGGGTCAGACGGCCACAGAGTGGACACCGGGGCTCATGGCCGTGTCCTGGGGACCCTGCTGCCACGGGCTGTGGAGATGCCCACGGCCAAGTCCAGGCCTGCGAGCGGGGCAGGCTGCAAACCCTTGGGTGTGGGGGCTGCCTGAAGGCGCAGATGTTCCTCCCCCGGGCTCACTGGCCTGGTCTCTCGGGTGGAGGAGGCCCAATGCCTGCGCCATTCTCCCTGAAAACAGCTCCTCCCTGCCTTGCAGGTGCTTCCTCCAGGCCGTCAGCCCCCCTGGTGGAGGCCCCCACTCAAGGCAACGCGGGCTTGCTACTCGGCTGCTCACCAGATGGCTGAGCCTCGCCCAACACCCAGCACCCCTGCCCCCCGCATGCACCCCGGTCTGAACGCAGGGCTTAGTGCGCAATAGGTGAAAGGCCCCCGAGTCCTCGGTTTTAGCCTCTGTCCACGGAGGGCACGGCCGCCGCCCCGAACAGCCCCACCTCCCGTGTCCTGCCATCTCGGGGCAGCCCGCGAAAGGGCTCAGAAGCTTATCCAGAGCCCACAGAAGCCCAAAGGTCTCCTGAGGTTAAAAACAAAAGGAAAGGAAGAAGGCTGCCTCTCCAGAGCCTGTAAGTTTCCAGCGTCTCTGGCAGCCGGCAAAGTGACTTTCAGGTGTGAGTTTGCAGTGAGGTGATTCAGAAGTGACTGCAGAGCCACCTGACTCCTCTGCTTGGCGCCGTGGAATGGTGAGTAATAGACTCCAGCAGATGGTCTGACGGAAAAAAATAGGCACCATTTGCAATGCAATTTGTGGGTGATTCTGCTCAATCACTTCCACGCCGCAGGGCTTGGGGGAGGGAGCCAATCAAGGTAAGTGGAATCACAGAGAGGGAGCGAAATTGAAGGGGCTTAGGGAAGGAGGCAGAGTCCGCCCGAAATCAGCGGTTTTCACAACACGTGAACTCACGGCCAGCTCTGGATTCTCCCCGTAGGGAAATGGCTGGCTGCGCAAAGGCTTTATAAATGAAGAAGGTTTTCATAAAAACAAACACCAGCACGACCCCTGCAGAGATGCTTCTGTTCTTCTCTTTGGGCCCAGAGCAATCCCCTGAAACGAGAGGGATGGCACCACACCTACGTCAGGCCCCCAGTGCTCAGTGTCCGGGGCAGGGGGGGGGGCGGAACCAGCTTCTCACTGCCCCCCCCCACCCCTTCTGTGCATCCTGCTTCCAGACTCGCCCTCAGGAGAGAGAATGAATATGCAGTGAAGGCCTGGCCTGATTCTGGGCAGAGAGTCATCTGTTTCTGTCCATTCCATCAACAAATGCCAGTGCCTTTCACTAAGTTCAAGGCGCCGTGCAGAGACTTTGGATGCAAAAAAGGGTCACTTCACACTGTAGCATGTGCTGGGCAGAAGGTAACTCAGAGACGACGTAGTACAGGGATGACAAATATCTGGCGTGTGTGTTGCAAATGTTAGTTCCCTTCGACTCCAGCCGATGGCGGGACGATGGACAACGCGGCCTGGGCCACACATGCCTGGGGGCGGGGGGCTTGCAGCCTACTTTCCCCAAATGCCCTTTAACACACTGCTCCTTGGCATTTTTATTTTTCTGTGTGTTAGTTGCTCATTAAAGAGATAATGAAGTATAAGGAACTGAAGGCAGAAGGACCGGGCAGATGAAATGTTGGCATTTTTGTGTTAATTATGAATGTCCCTATTCTGCAAACATTTTCTTCAGGATCTCCAGCTTAGTGAGGCAGTTGGCTTAAATGCCATGAACCGAATGCAGCTTTGGGAAAGAGTTCTGCAGAGGGAAAAAAAACGATCTCACCAGCTAAATTAACTGCATGAGCCCTTGCCTTGCAACAGGACAAGAAGCTTGCCCTTCTGAGCGAGTACGAGTAACTTGCAAAACTGGACGCTGGACCTTGCTTCCACCTTGCCTGTCCTGTCCAGGGACCATTTTAGAATCAAACAAGAAAAATACATTTGGAGCCATTAACTAGTCACGACTGCCCCTCCTGTCAAGGGGTGGAAGGCTCTTTCCATGCGCTGAAGCTCATAGGAGGATATGGGCCAACGTTCCTCACTTCTTGTCACCGTATCTTAAAGAAGCCAACTCCACTAAGTGAATGTTATTTACTTATGACAAACAATGCTGAGGGCTTATCCGGAAGGACACAATCTCTTTGGGCTCAAGGTGATAAAGGCCAATCGGGCAAAGAAGAGAAATTCTCACGTATTCCTGAGTGTTTGGCAGGTGCAGCATGAGAGGGGACCCCACACGGTTCCATGGTGGGAGCCTGGCGTCACTAGGCTGTTCTCAGGAAAGCACATGGGAGTGGTGCACACTTCTCAGTACAGATGCTGTGCTCCACTCCAGGCAGAACAATCTGTATTTGCTGGGGTTGGGGTCGGGGGTGGGGAGGGCACAGGTGTCTTTTCTGCAAAAGCTCCAGGAGTGGCTTTGGTGTACATTTTGGTTAAGAATGACCAATTTCAGGCACCCTGGGTGGTGCAGTCGGTTAAGTGTCCGACTCTTGGTTTCAGCTCAGGTCATGATCTCGGGGTCCTGGGATCGAGCGCCCCCATTCCCCCTACCCCCGCTGGGCTCGGTGCTCAGCTCTCTTCCTCTCCCTCTGCCCTCCCCCCTGCTCCCTCTCTCTGTCTCTCAAATAAATAAATCTTTAAAAGAAAAGAATGACCAATTTGACCAATACACTGTATCTGATCAAATAAGTGTTGTATTTTGGAACTGTAGGCATTGGCTTTATCAGTATACGTGACATATGCTTCCAAATTATTTGTAGGGGTATACCTTATCGAACAGGAGAACCACAGGTTCCCCTTACAGGTGTGTGGTGGTTGAACTGTGGGCCCCTCACGTATGATACAAAGGGATATGCTGCGTCCTAACCGCTGGTAACTGGGAATGTGACCTTATTTGGAAACAAGGTCATTGCGGATGTCATTTAGATGAGGTCATCCTGGAGGAGGGTGGGCCCCAATCCCATCTGACTCCTGTCCTTATAAGGAGAGGAAAAGAGCCACAGAGACAGATGGGGACGATGTCCTGGGAAGGCAAAGGCAGAGGCTGAGGGGTCGTCTACAAGCCAAGGGACGCCAAGGGCTGCCAGCCAGCAGGACCTGGGAGAGACAAGGCAGGATTCTACGCAGAGTCTCGGAGGGAGAACGGCCCCGTGACACCTTGATTTCAGACTTCCAGCCTATGGAACCGAAATAAAACATTTCTGTGGTTTAAAGCCACCCAGGATGTGGCATTTTGTTTCGGCGGCCGCAGGAAGGTTATGACTGGCTCTGCCTACGCCGGTCGCCGGACAGCCAGCCCCACGTCGGGAGGATGTGCACTCCTGAGTTAGGGGCTCCAAGGCAGCCAAATTCTTCCCTGAAACTCAGTGGGCGGCATTTCTGAGTGAGACCTGCCCAGCAGGGGTGCTGTACCATTTACCTCGCCCGAACAGCGGGTGGGGCTGCCAGTGCCCCTGCTTCCCCGGCGTGCACACGTGTGCGCAGGTCTGACACTGTGTGTGCTGGGCTGGGCCCCGCCCCCCCCCCCCCCCCCCCCCCTCCAGCTCTGAGGCTTCCAGCCTCCAACAGGCCGATGGGGTTGGCTTGTCTCCGCTACACGCTGGGTACTTGCTGTCGTGGGACCATGCACCCCGGTCAGACGTAAGAACATCCTCTTGTGTTTAACAGATATCCATATAGTGAAATTTGTGTGCCAGACGCTGTTGTAAGTACTTTACACACAACTCAATCCTCCTACAGCTTCACGTTTAGGTAAATCGTTCTTAGACTTAGTCACCGGCAGTACAAAGCGCCAGTCTGGCCCCCCTCTCTGGACACGGT